AGAAAAACGCACTGCCCCGCCTACCAAACGCGGAGTTCTAGCCACCACGGCATCGATCTTTGACCCACTCGGCCTGGTCGCACCGTTCACCCTTCGAGCGAAACTTCTCATGCAAGATCTCTGGAAACAGCAGCTGTCATGGGACTCTGAGCTGAATGAAAACGATACACATCGATGGACGGCATGGAAGATGGAAGCTGAGCAGCTCTCCCGACTGAGGATCCCCCGCTGTTTTGCTACGCCGGAGAGTGAAGTCATTCGAAGAGAGCTCCATATCTTCAGCGACGCGTCGGAAGCGGCATTCGGTGCCGTCGGCTACCTCAGGCAGATCGACTCGACCGGCACAATCGCCTGCTCGCTGGTGATGAGTCGGACAAGAGTGGCACCGCTGAAAATGCTGACCATTGTGCGGTTAGAGCTGCAGGGCGCGGTTTTGGCCACACGACTGCATGACAGCATACAGTCGGCCCTCACGATTCAAGTGAACCAGACGTTCTACTGGACCGACAGTGAAGTAGTTCTCGGCTATATCAGCAATGAGGCTCGACGGTTCCAGACCTTCGTCGCAAACAGAGTAGCCGAGATCAGAAGCCGATCGGAACCATATCAGTGGAGGCATGTTCCTGGTTCCCTGAACCCAGCAGACGAATGCTCCAGAGGCCAGCCGCTTTCCGAGATCGACTCTGACAGCCGGTGGTTCCGGGGTCCAAACTTTCTCTACAGACCGGAAATTGAATGGCCTTCTGCTCCCAAAACGGCCCAACCAAGTGCTAGCGATCCTGAAGTCAAAACGGTGGGCTCCGTGACCGTTGGACAGTCAGTTCCGACACTGCTGGTCGACCCGGCTCGCCACTCGTCGTGGACTCGCTATAGGCGTGTTACCGCCTGGGTATTGCGCTTCGCCTGCAACTTCATCGCCAGACACTCAGCTCAGTATCGAGACTGTGGCAACAACGGACCACTGTCTGCAGAGGAGCTGCGACTCGCTGAAATCCACATCCTCAAAGCAACTCAGCAGAACGCATTCAAGTCGGAAATCGACCTGCTCTCTCGTGGGAAGTCGGTGTCTGTCAGTAGCACTCTGCTTCAGCTTACGCCGCTGCTGGATTCAAGCGGAGTCATTCGAGTTGGAGGACGGCTGCAAGCAAGTCAACTTCCATTCTCAGCCAAGCACCCGGCTCTCCTACCAAGACGACACGAGGTTACTCGGCTCATAGTGACTTCAGTTCACCGTCAAGTGCTTCACTCGGGAGTCGACCACACGCTGAATGAGCTTCGGCAGGTGTACTGGATTCCGAAGGCGAGGAGCACCATCAAGTCATACCTACGAGGATGCGCCGTTTGCAAGAAACTGCGCAGCCGCCCCCAGGCCCCTCTGATGGGAGACCTGCCTGAAGCGAGATTTGATTCTCAGCACGCTTTCAGCTCAGTCGGACTGGATTTTTTCGGTCCTCTCCAAGTGCGTGTAGGCCGCAGGACGGAGCGTCGGTACGTCTTGCTTATCACCTGTCTGGCGTCAAGAGCGCTACATTTGGAGACCACCCCGTCTCTCGACACTGATAGTTTCCTGCTAGCACTCCGCCGTTTTATCGCTCGGCGCGGGAAACCAGCTCAGATATTCAGTGACAACTGGAAAAGTTTCAAGAGAGCCGATAAGGAGCTTTGTGATGCTCTCAGAAACTGGAACAACGAACAAATAAGCAACACGATGGCACAGAAGAACATCAAGTGGAGCTTCAACCCGCCTGGCACTCCTCACATGGGTGGATGCTGGGAGAGACTGGTGTCTTCAGTGAAAAGAGCACTACGCGTCGTCCTGGGCAACCAGCTCGTCACAGATGAAGTTCTCAGCACTGTTCTCATGGAGGTCGAGTTCATGTTGAACAGTCGGCCGCTCACGTATGTGAGCACCGATGCAGATGATCCAGAGGCCTTGACTCCGAACCATTTGATTCTCGGTCGCGACTCTCCCAGTCTCGCTCCAGGCATGTTTTCTGGGGAACAACTGAGTTTCCGGAGACGATGGCGTCATGCTCAGCAGCTTGCAGAGCACTTTTGGAAACGCTGGCACAAAGAGTATCTGCCAACCCTGATGAAGAGGACCAAATGGTCGCGAGAGAGCCGACGAGTTCAGGTGGGCGACGTTGTGCTAGTCACCGACAACAACTTGCCGCGTGGAAGATGGCCGCTAGCACGAGTGGTGAAGGTCTTCCCCGGTTCCGACGGTCGCGTTAGAACGGTGGAGCTGAAGACTAAGAGCGGCACATACGTGCGACCGGTAGTCAAACTGTGCGTATTGGATGCCTCGGATGAGGAATAGGATGTCCAAAGGTCAACGTTCGAACGCAGTGTTAGTAGAATGCGTTCATGCGATTAGTGCTATGTTTTGTATTTTGTAGCCGGCGCGCGTGTAGTTAACGACCGTTTCCGCAGTGAGGGGGGAGGATGTCGCCGACTCTGTGGCTCCCCGAAAATGGGCGCACGAGCCTATGCCAGAATTTGGTATAGGTCACGTGCCGAGGTCAACGAATGTGCGTAAAAATGATAGTTTCGAAAATGAGGTCGATAGAATTTGGCGAGGGTGAATACATTATGAAGTGATCCGGTAAATACGTTTCGATTCGCTCGTTTTAACACATCGATTTAAACGATCTAACGTAACGTACTCGTTCGTATCATCGGAAATGTCAAAGTAATTCGCGACAATATATTTAAGTAGGTGCAATTCTAAACAAATGCTTAAGAAATTACCTAAACAGTAAGTTTTATTTCATTCAAATCAAACAAGTACAACCAAAGTTATGGTCGTTCAAAAATATAAAGATGCAACATTTTGTAAAAATTCGATGCCCTATATTTAGAAGACCTGTGGTCAGCATGTGCAAAAAACATCAATGTAATGTTCGGGGCGACACAGGAACTCGCTCACAAATTTATAATGAAATCGCTGATGGTAAGGTGCAAAACAGCCGATTTTTGTTCGATTTGACGTGGAATGCCCCAGAATCAGCGATCTTCAACGAAAACCTGTCCAGTGTCCACCCACATCCTGGTGTCCAAGGCTATCTCTGATATGAATGTCAGACATATCAGACTCCGAGTCGGTTTGGACACAGAGTAACTCAGCAGGCTCAGAGTGGCGAGCCATTACAAGGAGTGACATAGCGCGAGTGGCACCGTTTCTCTGTCAGGGCCGAGTAAACTTCAGTGGACACGACCGTTCCTAACTGCCGTCTCGATCCACTGACCACTGGACGAGGCCATGGTCGTGAGACGGTCCACTGCCGGTCCACTGCTGGTCTCTGGAGGTCTCTGGAGGTCCGCTGCCAGCTCATTGGAGGTCCCTGGAGTGGAGTAGAGCCCCACAGACCCGTGCAACTGCAGGGCGGTGGGAGTCTCCTCCGGCCGGAACTCGATTAGGTACTCGAGGTCAGTTCCGCAGCGCCAGGGGGTGTGACTCAACCTCGGACAGTTCGTGCAGGCTGATCCAGGATGGAGCTGCCGACCGACCAATGTCAACGCTGGCCCCCGGTGATAGGGTTTTGCTGACGGAGTGCTGGCGTTTTTGGTCGGAAGCTGACTGTGAGCTGAGCAGTCGGCTGCGGCCGGGTCTGCAGTGCACGATTACAGTGGGTGAAGGTCGCGTCCTTGGAGGCTCAAATCGCCGCCGCCGTGGGCCGGACAAGGATATGGGCCGGTTCAGCTGTTTGCAGAACAGGAAAAATGACCCGGCTAGTCTGTTGCATGTAATTCCTCAAAAGTTTTTCAACAGGAGATTAAATCCGTCTATCAACATTTGATTATATCTTTCAGGCGGTCTGAGCTAAAATCTTTTTGCTAAATGTTTGTGAGACAAAGTGAATTTATGGATTGCCTGGTGGCCTCAAAGAAGGAATTTGAAGACACACAGCCTTTTGTCTTTCACTTTAGGTACTTAAGCAAACATTTGTAGACAGACCAACCAAGTTGCTGTGAAAGAGAGCAGCAACAGGTGCGTGCATAAAATGGTAACAGCATTATTGATATCGGATATGGTGTCGATTACCTCTTTCTTCGGTAGACCTCAGTAGTTGCTGAGTGGTAGGTACGTACTTTTGAACGTGACCAAAGCTCTTCCGTTACGTAACCAGGCTGAAAAAAAGAGGAACGCACATGTCCTTCAGATGACTTATGCTCTATTTATACTGGGCTCCACGTCCTACGCTTCTCAGGAAGCCATAATAAAGCTTTCTACATGATTTGCGAACCGTGCGTCTCTGGCACGTGATTATTAAGCCGTAACCCTTACACGTGACCGTCCCACAACGTGAACGCTGACCCGTGCTCGCCACCTGAATGCAAAAACAACCCTCTTATTGGAGAGTCACTCCTCATATTCTGCACTTGTCCGACCCAGACAATGTCATTTTGTCCAACCCTCCGGCCTCCGGCGCTTTCTCGTCGAACTCGGCTTTGCACGTGACCCGGCAACATCAGATGCTCGGCCACGTGACCTGGCCTCGTGACATGTGGCCGGCTTCCCCGGCCGGTAGGCGACACGGTGAAGAAAGGCGAAGCGAACGAGTGGGGAGGGCACGCGTTGAATGACGCCGGTGCCCTCACCCGTCGTCGGCACCGCATTCCCAGGGCTTCCCTGGATCGATATGGCGTGCAGAGATGTCGTCCGTTAGACGTTTCACTTACAGCGTTGCACGTTTCTGAGACTGAAGCCAAGAATAGTGATTAGCCTGGTCTGCGACAAGACATTTCAATCGGCTGTCGGTAGTCACCATTCATCGGCAAACAATAAACAATAAATAAACAATAAACAAACAGCAAGGAGATCGTCGCTACCAATCTCCTAAATAAAATGTTTCGTGTCATTATGGCCACAGTGGCAGTGTCGTGTATATGTTTTCGTAACTGTCACTGAGAGTCCCCCCACGCCGTGTCACCACAGGGGCCCAGGTGACAGCGTTTTGTGCCCACGACTGACACGCCTCCGCACCTTATTCCCACAGAGGACACCATAGTGACGGTGTTCATCCCGAAGACGCAGGGCGAGGACCTGGCCCACATCACCGACAGCGGGGTCGACGTCTCCATGCAGATCACACCGGGGAAGCACTTCCGCTACGCCGACAACAACCTCAACAAGTCAGTACCTAGTCTGCCAAACAGGCGGCTCCCTTAGTGTGTCAGATTGCTCTACTGCTTATAAATGCTTACATACCGATATTTTATGTACTCATACAACTTCTTTTTCCAAGCTCTTGCCACGTATAGTATCGACTTGTACTTAACTAACACGGTCTCGGTCTGATTAAGTTTGGAAGTGAAAATAGAACGCTTACATAACATTGTAAATTTATTCAAGGGTTCAAGGGATATGCTCGGTCCCACATCCTTACTCAGTTGTCTCATTTACCCCTTTTCATTATTGTTTTTGTTCTTCTGGAAATCGTATACGGATTCAAATGGTAATCAAATACCGTAAACGACAGGTAATTGAAAATGTCATCCTGTTAGAATGTATGGAAACGTTCTTCTTTCATCTGATCGACAGTTACAACTTACAAGTTCGCTGGTTTTGAGCTTTCTATAGCAATTTTTTATCCAAAGCTTGGGACAATTTTTTTTATTATTTGTACCAATGGTTTGGCCTTAAAAAAGTGCGTTAACCCGCGCCCCACTGGGGTCTGCGTATAACACGCCCTACTGGGGGGGGGGGGGGGCTATTGATAGCCCCCCCTCCTAACTCCGAAACTACTGGGCCGATCGTCAAAATTCAAACGGCGTCTGATAGCCCCGGAAAAACTGTCGAGCGAAACCTAATTTCATTGACCTCGAGGTTACCGATGACGTCACAGGTCAGGTCAAAGTAAAAAATATTAGCATTTTGGCTTGTTCACGTTTTGGGCTCTGGCCTCCGTCTTACAAGTCAGATCAGGCTCATTTTTGGTTCACACACTCGTGAACAGATGCTCTAGATACCTTGAGGGTACCAAGCTTGTACTTTGATTTTCAGGTCAAGGTCAGGTCATCACAGGTCACGAAAATATTATATCATGCGTCGGTCACGTGACACATGTTTTATGGTCCATTTAGGCCAAAGATTTCGGATTTGATGTCGTCTGTGTCATTCGAGGTCATTTTGATTCGAATTTAGCTTAGGTCAGGTCACTTCCAGGTCAAAAAAGGTCAAATTTTGAAGTTAAAATTTTTCAACAGAAGAGGTGTCTAGTGGATGCAGTTTGAGCTCAGGAACACGATGATGCCATTTATATTGGCGTACGATGTCAAATACGTGCTGAAAAATTGATTTGAAAAATTAATAATTGTGAATTTTTTGCAATAATGCGTATAACTTGGCCATTTTTGAAGATATTTAGCTAAAACTTGCTACAGTTAGTCATAATAACGCGTTCTATCACATATATTCCGGTTTTTTCGAAAAGTCAAAAACTTTTTGAAAAAAATGTAAAAATGTATATTTTGAATTTTATTGTATATACTTTTCAAAATTTTCAAAATTTCGAAAATCCGAGATAGCAGTTTGATAGCGCAGTCTATTCTGAGTCCTATCATGCAAAGAAATTGGATCTAGCTTAAAAACTGAGCCCTTGGGAGCGATTGCCGTGGTTCAATGTTTTGCGTCGAAATCGGCCGAACATGACGTCACTCTGACGTCATTTCCGGCCGACCTATGGTAGCTACGAAGTTCCAATTTTGACACAAGGTGTCAAATTGATGCAGCCAAAGGTACTGAAAGTTTGGCGTCGATACGTCAAGCGGTTTGGAAGTTATGGCAGAAAAACGGGAGGGGGGCTATAAATAGCCCCCCCCCCAGTGGGGCGCGGGTTAAGCAGTCGGAACGTTAAACATTTCATGAACGCATTTTTATGTTTAAACTTATCGTGTCAGACACGAATAGCGTTTACTCACTGCTGCATTGCATAAATGTGGTATTTGTGCAAGTGTTTGTGCACTATTATGACCACATCTTCATCGCATAGTGCACTTTGCTCAATGTCGCCTATGCGATGTGTGCGTATAACATCCCCTGGGTGCGCCCGGCAGAGGGCGGGGTCCGATGCGCAGCTATTGGCTCTACCTGTTCTCGCAGCTGTGCCCAACGAACAAAAGTACCACGGCCTGTGCCGTCCTGTGAGTTTCAGTAGAATAAACCCTCAGTACCCGTAATTAGACATTTCAGAACAGTTGAATAGTCACTCTAGATTCTGGAGCCAGGAATAATCCGACTCCATCGTAGCTTTACTCTAACGCAGGCAGTTAAGTATATAGTCACCAGGCATCATCCGCCACTGGCTGCTTTGATAAGTTTGCAGCTAAGAGGTGCACAAATTAGTTCGCGACCCATATTTAGGTTGACCGTAACAAAGCGTTTGCTAAGTTCCAAAGCACTGAGCCTTTGTAGTGGCCTCGCGCCTCACTAAAGACAATAGACAAAAGGCATGCCATGCCAGCGAGCACTATATCAAGCTCGGTTTGTATTGCTGAGGAAACAAGCCTAGCTATACCTCTCACCTCACTTAGCCCACCTCACTTAGCTCACCTCACTCGATCGGCACTCGTCCATTTCGGTGATCGGTTACGGTGTGTGATTTAGCCCGGTCTGTACTGAGCCTGGCACGTATACCGAGTGGATCTTAGCACCAGCAAACTAGCGGTATTTGCCTTCGCTGACACGCTTAGTATGTCCATAAAAGAGCGAATAGTTATTAACATGGTGCTGTTACTGCATATTTTACTTGTAGCTGTCTGAATCCAGCGCAATTTATTCAACTGCACAACGAAGTTTACGTCTGGGAATGTTCGATCAATAAGAAAGTACCGGTCATAAAACAGTAATTATATAACCTTCTTGCTCAGCAAACGAATAAACATGATGCATAATGGTGTATAACGAGTTTTAGCAACTTACGACGTCCAATGCCGTTTGTTTGAGCAAATAAGCAACTAAATATTTCCAAGGAATATGGCTGCAGGCCAGATCGATGAGTGCCAGTTTGTATCGGGTTCACGGTACCTTTCCGTGCAGAAGCTGACGGACCTCGCGGTATATAGACCCGGGTTAAACCGAACGGGGTTTGTACTAGTGATGTCAGTTACGGAAAATCTGAATACCGATACTAAACCAAATACCAACCGAAACCGTGGAGAAATACCGAAACCAAACCAACTTGGGAACATGAGGGAAATACCAACTTTTTACCGATGACTTAGCCTTTTATACATTAGTGGGGGTTAATGATACCAACAAAATAGGTACCAAACACATTAGGATTGAAATACCAAATACCAAGTTGGTATCGGTTTGGTATCGGTATACCAAAAAGTCGGTATCCGATTGACATCTCTAGTTTGTACCATATCGGGTTCATTGGAAAATCTTATAAGCCGTCTGTTAACACAGACAGTTCGCGCTACTCTAATGAAGTTCGTCATATATTGATGCAATCTGGATGAGTTTTCCTGGGACATATCAGCTACATATACGATCAAACGTTTGACAGCAGCGACCAAGGCAGCGACTGCAATCCAACTAGGTATAAAGTGAATCCCCACAACTGCAACGACGCTCGCAGGTTTTTATGTCCGGGTGATGCAAAAATAAAGTGTACACATGAATAATAGAGCATGTGCACTAATAGAATCATAATAGAAGAATAGAGCAGAAATAACTTACCCCTCGTCCCCAAAAAGTAACTTGCATGGTAGTGGCCCACCTCAAATGTTAAGGTGATTATTTATTATCGAGAGCCACCTCATGACACGTTGAGTAAGACGAGAACCCTCTCTTAGGAACTAGTCTGTCATCTTGACTGCTAACACGTGGTTGTGGCACATGTCCGTTCATCAAACAGCCACTGCTGCGAGTCACCGGGTCTGCGAGATCACCTGGTGCACTGAGAACGTCTGTGAGACAGCATCACTCAACTCGTCTGACGAGTCCGATAGTTCGCGTCACTGGGCGGTAGTGAAATTTCGAGACGGTTTGACTCCGCCGCTGTTATGATGACAACGGTAAAAGTTTACAGTAGAAATTGTTATATGTATCAATTTGTTTATTCGATGCCCCCGAGAACATTCTTTGCAGCTTTGAATTGGTAGAAAAAAAGATAAGCGTTTAACTTATTTCAACTCAATTTCTTGCCTTATTTTCATCGAAAAAAAAAAACAGCCTTCCGTTCAAATATAGCAAACCTCCGTGTACGTGTTGAAGTTCGATGTCCCCCGGAGAACAACTGTATCATTTTTCCCCTTCCCTCACATCTCAAGACACTTATATCACCCCTCTCCCCCTCCCTCCCTCTGACGTCGCAGGACGTCGGTGCTGTTTGTCTCAGTGTCGTTCATCCTGTTGATGGTCATCTCGCTGGCCTGGCTGCTCTTCTATTACGTGCAGCGCTTCCGCTACATCCACGCCCGAGATCAGCTCACGGTGAGTTTGGTATACTAGTTGGGAGTGAGTTTGGGACGAAGTTGAGGAACGGGAAAAGGAATCAACAATTTCTACTCAATAACGCTGGGTGGCACGACTTTCTGTGGTTCGTGTATTCTATAGCTTTATATTTTATTTTTATTTTCGTCATGAGCGTCGTAAAAGGAGTGATTTTTTATTTCAGCATAACGTATCCGCACGGCCCACGCTGTCCCATCAGTCTGACCTACGCCCGCCGTCTGCCGTGTTACAGAAGCGACTGGTGTGCGCCGCCAAGAAGGCCGTGTGCCGAATCCCGGTGCGGATCCTGAAGGCTGACGACGCCCAGCTGGCGGAGGGAGAGTGCTGTGCCGTCTGTCTGGAGCCGTACCGCGTCTCCGACCATCTGCGGGCCCTGCCGTGCAGGTTAGACCCCGAACCAGCACCATGACGTGCTGGTTAGATCGACCAGTTGCGGGTCCTCCCGTTATCTGCCCGAATATCTGCGGGTCCATTCGTGCACGTTAGACCCCTATACCAGCTCCGGGTCCTCCCGTGCAGTCTATGTAGACCCCGATCAGCTGCCGGGCGCTCCTATGCTGGTTAGAGTCCGGTTAGCTGCGCCTCCAAGTAAGACCCCGGCCAGGACAAAAGCCAGGGATCTATTCTACATTCTATAATCCAGGAGTAATATCCTATCGTTAATTGCAATTGACCCACGCTGACGCTTTACGCTGCTTATATGCTCCTGTGCTAGTTAGAGTCCGGTTAGCTGCGCCTCCAAGTTATAAGACCCCGGCCAGGACAAAAGCCAGGGATCTATTCTACATTCTACAATCCAGGAGTAATATCCTATCGTTGATTGCAATTGACCCACGCTGACGCTTTACGCTGCTTATATGCTCCTGTGCTAGTTAGAGTCCGGTTAGCTGCGCCTCCAAGTTATAAGACCCCGGCCAGGACAAAAGCCAGGGATCTATTCTACATTCTACAATCCAGGAGTAATATCCTATCGTTGATTGCAATTGACCCACGCTGACGCTTTACGCTGCTTATATTTCCCGAGAGTAATTTACATATTGCGGAGAAAATAGCCTGCAGTTATGATCCACACTGAAGGGCTGTGCTGATCGCCCTTTTCTCTAGCCTTGATCTCCGCCTGAATGATGTAAAATATCAATTGGGAATCTCGGGGGTTCGCGGGTCCCTTCTGCTCTCCGTGGAAGTTATATCAGACACCGATATCCGTCGGACTAAGGACCGCTGATCCCACAAGTTTCACCGTAGCAGGACGAACCCGGCCAATGGCCGAGTGTATCTCGTTAGTGCAACGAAAGGTCACCGTCGGCAGGGCTTCAGCGTCGTCAGCCAGCTCTGAGAACGACGATGCTTTTGTGTGGATCGCTATTCGTTACCATAATATGTTTGGGCTTGAGACAAGGGATAAAATGCTCAAAGAAAATATTTGTGTTTAGGTCTGTAATGTTATATGTGGGAGGAGGCGTTATGTTCCCTCTCTCATTTTGCAAAAAAAAAAAAAACGCTGTTTTTGCACACCTGAACATCCAACTTCTTTGATCCGTCTGGAAAAGAAGTTCGACTTTAGTCCCAAGGGACAAAGCTAAGGTCCTTGCTGAAGTTTCAGGTGCTCATTCATCACATAAACTTGTTCAATGTTCGTAATGAAAAGCTCAGCCTTGTTAACCTACCTTGTTTGTTTTCAGTCACGAATTCCACAAGCAATGCGTGGATCCTTGGCTGCTGAAGAACAGAACATGTCCAATGTGCAAAATGGATATACTGAAGTACTTCGGGCTGGTAAGTGCGGTATGTCGATGGGACTCGCTCGGTCACTCTACAGTGCATTTGCAATTATCTTTTAGCTCGGGCTCTTCCTCCAACTGATTCCTCTGCGAATCAAAGCCAAGTCACATGCTCCTCGCTGTCCCAGCAGCAGCCATTGTGAAACCGCCCCATGTAAATGACCCTACCACGCGCGGAGCATCATGTGACCGGCTGCACATCCCCGAGTCACATGCAGGCATCATGTGACCCCTCCTGATGCTGACGACACAGCTACCCCCATGAGTTTTGTCCCATGACCCGCCGGCACCGGCACCCTTGTCTCCAAGCGATGTTGCGCCTTGTATAAGGGGACATATATGGACCGAATAAGGGCAGCGCGTGCAGCTAGAGGCACTGTCAGGCCCGCGGCGACAGACGTGCTTTCTTGTTAGCATGGGAGAGGGGCTGTTACAAGCGGCGGCCCGTTACTGGTTAGCATTGACAGTGGGGGTGGTCCTGGTTCCTCCGGCAGGTCCGTTACTTTTTAGCATGGGAAGCGGGGGTGACTGGTACTGGGCGCCGACAAGGAGACGGGATTATCTGTAACCAGGCGGAGAGGGTGGTGTTATGACCAGCCCGTGAACAAGACGACATGGGTGTGCGATACCGTGCCAGTTGCCGACGGCGCCGTAGAGTGTCTCATTTGAATGGACCGGTTCGGGCCCGAGGGCTCACGTGCTTACCGGCCATGTGACCACAGTCAGCTGACTGAGTGTGCTCAGCTGGTGACGCTGGTGATAGCGAGTCATGGGAGGAGAAGCAGAGGGGGAGCACGAGACATTGTTTGCTAAGTGATGTTCGGTTGCTGTGTTACCAGCTGACATCTTTAGACGAAGGTAAAGCTTATGATCAGAGGAACGGACAGAAGTGTGAACAGAAACAAAATTCTAAAGCAACGGATCAGCGGCATCACAAATCGATTCTGATATGCATAGTTTTAATACCTAATTGAATACCATTTACGAGTGAAATGCGTACCGGTAATTCAGTGGGCTTGCAATATTCAGAAATCCGCTAAATTGGAAGATCGTTAATGCTGTGATAGTTTATAACTTGAACGGTGATGCCTAAGAAACGGAGAGCCAAGGAAATGGCTCGATGAAACACGTGAAGACGATAAAATATAATCATTTCGACAACGAACCGCCACACTGTCATCCGCTGACCGTATGTGGCCCATGTGACCTCAGCTGACAGTGAGTGACCTGTGTGACCCTTAAATGACCTGTATGGCTCCTGCTGACAGTACGTGACCCATGCTGACAGTGCATGACCCGTGTGACCTCTGCTGACAGATGTGGCCCATGCTGACCCCTGTTGGCATTATGACCCTAGCTGACCCTCGCTGACCTCTACTGACACTGTATCCCCTCTATGACCGCCAGAGCTCGGTCAGTGAGGAGAGTATCGTCCACCTGGAGCTGGAGGGCGTCTCCGTGGCGCAGAGGCGCGGCTCCCCTCTCTCGCCGGTGCTATACGTCAGCAGTCAGCCGGCCGGGGCGGTGCCGGGGACCCGGTCCCGTACCGTCAGCCGTGCCAGCCTGCAGAGCGTAAGTACCTACATCGAGCGGTACTGCAGGGGTGACAGTGTGGAAGGCAGGAGCCAATTAATTGTTCAGCAGTCGAAATGCAGACAAATGGGCATGGAGCGGCACCAGAGGCCCACCAGTAGGATTACATAGATGGCACCAGTGCCACTGTGCACTTTGACGTTGGGTGAATGAAGGAAATAACGTAACGCCCGCACCACCTCCAGTTTGCAGCAGCATTTCATAAATGAAATGCATGGAAGCATGCTGACGGGCCAATCCAAAAGCTCTACAAAACTTTTGGCAGCTAGAAAGGTGACCGTTGGCAACACCCAGCCCTGAAACCATGCGCTACCTACGGCTAAAAGCCGATACCGATGCCTGGCATCTGCCCCCACTAACTGCTCGTCCCGCCAACAGATGTCCCTGGTGATGCCCAGTCCGGCCTGTGTGGAGAGCCTGCACGGCCACGGACCCACAGCAGCCCGGTGTCGGCGGGTGTCGGCTGCGCTGGCGGCCGGACGGCGTCAGGAGCCGCCGCGCCGCGCCTCGGCACCGACCCAGTCCCCCGGTGGCGGAGGGGGCCGAGAGGCCCTGGCCCGGTCTCTGAGCACCCCCACCGGCCCGGCGGCGGGCACGGTTGGAGTCGGGTCACTTGTGACAAACGCCTGTGAGTTGAAATGAGTGCTGTTTGCATGATATAACTTATATGTCAAGTGCGTAGAGATGAGTCAAGAGAGGACCACCACAAACAAGCTTGGAGGATGGGAGTATGATAAATGGAATTCGGTGTCTAGAAAGCACATTTCCTGAGCCACTTTTGTAGTCAGAGCTCGCGGTCGGTTGTGATGTATCATTTACGGTTAGACGACATCAGACCGTATGCCGTTCGGTGTTTCGTGATTACTAAGCGCTGTGTCCCATTTTCAGATGAAGTCATTGCTCTTCCGTGCTCATCGGGTCCCATTGAAACGGCCATGCGTCGCCGCTGCCAGCGTCTGGGTAGGGCTGACACCAGCTACACCCCTCAGGACAGCTCTGAGAGCTTCGAGACGACTGTCCTGGATCAGCCGGCCGCTGCCGCCGCCAGCCCGGTCCCCGTGAACCAACAGCATGACGAGTCGCCGACCGAGGCGACACCTGCCGACAGCGATACTAGCGCCTCTAGTGAGAAACCGCAGCAGCACGCTGATGTTGTTTGTCATGTTGAAGAGGCTCTGAATGATGAAAAAGTTGACTGAACGCCGGTGAATGCAGTGAACATTAAGGAAGGAATGAAAATTTTAGAAAAAAGTTCAACAGACTCTTACGATAGAATTGGGGCTACTGGTCGTCCAGACTTCCTTTGTAAGAAGGTCTGTGACTGTTGACAACGGCTCAACCATAGAAGGTAGCCTCCTCATGGGATAACGGCGATGAGGGTAGGACATCTTAGTCCTGAAGGACCATAGTCCTGCTAGCAGTAATCACCTATTATTTATAGGTACTCGTAATTCGTTACAGTGACCGAAATTATTTATGTTTGTCGTGCGAAAAGCGTACTACGGCCAGTGTCATAAATCATCATGCATCACTGCGATCGTAATATTTATATTTTGAGCTGTTAGGCGTTTCCTTGTTGAAATATGTAACATAAATAACATGTCACTTTCAAATTCATTAATCATTAGGTGATGCCCATTTCATCTATAAGTTAGTGTGTATGACCCGGTCTCTGAAGGAGATCGGTTGCAGCTGGAGAATGGAGCATATGTTCATTGTATTTCAGTGCCATGTTATGATTGTGATATAAGCAAATGTGGCCCGGTGTACGCTGGGCTCAAATCAGTGGGATGCATGAATTAAGAATGCTTCTGTGCTCAGCGAGACTTTGGCTACAACTGGCAGATTCTATAACCACCGAGGTTACGAAATTATGTGATGATTGAGAGTTCAGAATCGGTCGAGGTAATATGTTGTATCCAAGGCTGTATGTTGTATCCCACCAAATGGTCGGAATATGAACGTAGAAGTGGCATAAACGCTACGTGAACCTAGGTAAATAAAATCGGTAGAAGCGTGATGAGCGGTTGCTGAGTTATAAGCCACTCAAAAGCGTTGTCGACCGGGCCGGGCCGGGCCGCTCATACTGAGATTTTTCCGTTATACTTTATAGTGAAAAGACTTCGCTCGCTCCGTAATGAAGCTTACTTGTCGAAGAAGTATAATTCGTGTAATTTTTGTAACTGCAATGCTCGTCCCGACGGATGTGTAATCTGCGATCTGGAAAAAGAGAAAGTACTAGTTATTTTAATGAGTGTACTGGTAGGTAAGAGGGTGAATACAGCAATATAACAGCAACTAAAATAATGTCAATGGTGCTGGCTGGTATGTACGAAGTAGGTTCTCTTTAGTAAAAGGTCATCATAAGAGCAAAAATGTTAATAAAGTTTCTTAGCGGAAGACGTTTCGCCGTCTTCTGCTATCAATCTGTCGACACGGACGAAAGGCGAGACTTGATAGATCAGGGTGTCGCTAAGAGTGAGACTTTTGAGGCTTATCTGCTCGTCTCTTTCCAACCCTCGCGCCCTAAAGAGCGAAATATTTCATTCTAAATTATTATCTGAAAAAAACGGAAATTTACAACACTGCCAGCACCTACATGTAACAGACTCGACCGTCGCGTCGGTGAGTCCCGGCTCAATGACACGTCGCTCAGGACCCGGTCGATGTCCAATGGACCGCGGGCGCAGGCTAGTATGTGTGTGTGTGGGGGGGGGGCTGCCGATGTACCGCCGGCGCAGGTTAGTATGTATGTGTGTGTGGGGGGGGGGGGGGTCTGCCGATGGACCGCGGGCGCAGGTTAGTGTGTATGTGTGTGTGTGTGGGGGGGGGGGGGGTCTGCCGATGTACCGCCGGCGCAGGTTAGTAGGTATGTGTGTGTGTGTGGGAGGGGGGGGGCTGCCGATGGATCAGGTTAGTGTGTGCGCGCCTGGACGACGGACCGATGGCTCCACCGGGACGACGTTCACCCATCGACCGGGTCCATTGATGAGCAATGAATTATATACCGGCAGGCAGCGATCAGTCAGGTGTATCGGTCAGCAGGGAAGGGAGCGGGCGGGTGACAGCTGGACGAATCACTAATGAAGCAGGCGGGCCACAGGCATTTCTGTGAAGGGCAGGGGTGTCGATTTTTCAAAATGGTTGGGGGTGCTCAACCCCTGCACCGGGTGAAAGATTGTAGCTTTGCCATGGGGCACAACCGTACCTACAAGGCATGGTTGTGTATCCCCATAAGGTACTGATAATCCCGGGATTTCCACTAATATTTCCCAAAGGTTGAACGTTCTTCAAAACCATTCTGCTCGTCCTAGTACTTGGCTACCTCATTACATAAACATCTTTCCGAAAAAAAACGCGTACATTTGCCGGCAGCTCGGCAGCAGCCCCGACACGACACCTCTGTAATAAGGTGACAGAAACCGATGACCGCGATTTGCACCGGTGCAGCAGCCCCTGCGGTCCGCAGGGGCGGACATTGCGCGGGAGGCAACGGTATAGCTACGAGGCTCTGGCGTTTATCAGACGATCACAATAATCGCTGAAAAAAATAACAGGTGATTGCAATTCGATATTTATGGGTTTACGATTTTCCTCAGTGGCGTAGCCAGGTGGGCCCGTGAGCCCCCCCCCCCCCCGCCCCATCAGGTTCAGGGGCCCATCGGATTATTCGGGCCTGGGGGGCACTGCGGCGCCAATTGGCCACTGAGGGTCCACGTTGGCTATATTTGGACTCAGAAGGGCCCCACAGGGCTCGTAAGAACACCTCATGGGCCCAAAAGTACTAACATTAAGATCTCCATAAGGGCCCCAAGCCAGCCTCTGAGGGCCACTTGCCGGCCTCTGGGGGTCTTAACCGGCCTCTAGGGGGCCAGCTCTAGGAGCTGCACACCCGCCTGTAATGGCCCCACACCCATTTCTCTGAGGGCCCCTATAACGGCGACTGTGAGGGCCCTCACCGGCGCCCCTGAGCGCCACACCGGCGTCTCTGAGGGCCCCACACCCCTAACTCTGAGGCCCTATACCAATGCCTTTAAAAACCCTACATGGGCGGTTCTGAGGGCCCTTGACAGTTACCAGCGACCCTGACGGCCCCACACAGGTGACACGGAGGGTCCCAGCGGCGTCTGAGCGCACCATGCCAGTCTCTGAGAACCCCACAAGGCTCCTGAAGGCACCGGTGACCTCTTGATATCTTCTTGTCGGCCTATGAAGGATCCGTTCCGTAACAGCAGTTCTGAGGGCCCAACGCGCGCCTGTGATGGCCCTAAACCAGTGTCTCTGAGAGCCCCCACACCGGCGCCTCCAGTCCGAGGGCCCCACATTGCCATATCTGAGGGCCCCACACTAGTGCCTCTTAAGGCCCTATATCGGCGGCTCTGAGGGCCCAACATCGTAGCTTCTGAAGGCCCCACAAGTGCGCATGTGACGGCCACCCTGCCACCGGTGACATTTGAAGGCCCCACACCGGCGACTCTGAGGGCCCCATCAGCGCCTGAGCCCGTTCCGGTCTCTAAAGATGACCCCACAGGGTTTCTCAAGGTACATACCACCGGCCTCTGATGACCCTTTGCCGGCCTCTGAGGGCCTGTCGCCGGTCTCTGGAGCCCCCTGCCGGCTTGTAAAGGGTACGCGCCAGCAGCTCTAAGGGTCCGACACCCGTGTACGACGGACCCACACCATCTTTGCAACTTAACGTTTTTTTTCGCCCTTCTTCTTAAATCTAAATTTTCTTTTCTTTACATCTTTATTTCATGCCTTGTAAATTGCGTAATTGTTTTATTTTTAGTAGTGAACTACTGCAGAACAATTATTTTCCTCAAGCAGAGTTATTGAGGGACAAAACCATTGGGGGTGCCCGGAAAACCATTGGGGGTGCTCATTTGAGCATTGGGGGTGCTGCAGCACCCCCAAAGGTATACAAATCGACACCCATGGTGAAGGGATGGGTATTCGTATGACACTCTCTTGAGTGGGTGGAGGCAGGGGCAATGTAAGCCAAAACCAAGATTCGCCAAAACTTGCCCCCTCTCGTATTAAAAAAAAATCATGGAATGGTAACAGGATTTATTGCTATCGCGATATAAAACCAATGGTGATCCGAAAAAAAAAATCGTCCTTTCGACTAATATACAGGGTTGGGCAGATAAATTGGGACAAAATACATATTTGCATTTAGAACGCCGTAGCTTAGAAATTTGTAAACATAGGCATTTCAAATTTGGATCACATATTGTCACACCAATTTTACACACTTTTACCAAATTTGGTCACCGTGATCCACCTGCATCAGTCCTTATCGGTGCCTGGACTGGCCGCACGCGCACCGAGATCTTCCGTCTGAAATTTCTTGTAATTGTAGTCAACTGGCACTGCTGAGGCTCACCACAGTCACACAGGGGCGGATCCAGGAAAACTCCAAGGGGAGGGTCATGAATCGAAGTGGTGCCCCTACCTATACCCAAAATTAAAAACTCAACGGATTTCGTCCACTTCATTTTGGTGGTGCCCCCATTTTCAGTTTTTTTCTTTTTATTTTTATTTTTAGTCAGTATCTTAACTCTTAGCCACAACCACATTTACCAATTGTAAGCAAGTATACCTATATGAATGTGCTATGTGTATATATGTTGTGGACGCTGAGTAGTGAGTACTTACCAGGAACGTTATCAGGTAAGCAAATCGTTGTCAGTCCGACGAACTTGACCCTGGCGTCTAAAGGGTCTGTCCTTGACACTTCAGGCTTGTCAGGGGCACCGAAGTCCTTCCAGGGACACCACAAACCTGTCAGGGGCACCTACGGCCTTGTAGGGGCGCCACAGGCCCACCAGGGGCACCACAGGCCTGCCAGGAAGCAGGGGCACCACAGGTCTAGCAAGTATACACGACAGGCCTGTCAGGGGCACAACGGGCCTGTTGGGCCCATGAGCACCCCTAGGGGCAGGGGCACCAAAGTCCTAGCAGGGGCACCGCAGGCCTGTGAGGGGCACCAGCGGCCTAGCAGGGGCACCAGTCAACACAGGCCTGCCAGGAGCACCAGAGGCCTGCCAGGAGCACCACCGACCTCGCAGGGGTAACTTGGACCTGTCAGGGCCCAGGGGCACCACGGGCCTGTCGAGAGGCACTTCAGGCTTTCCAGGGGCACCATATTCCTCTCCGGGCGCAGGGGTAGCAGGGGCACCAGAGGCCTGCCAGGGGCACTACAGGCCTAGCAAGGGCACCACTGGTCTATCAGGGGCACCACGAGCCTGTCATAGCCAGGCATCTCAGGCTTGTCAAGGCCCAGGGGCACCACAGTCCTTCCAAGGGCACCGCAAGCCTGTCAGGGGCACCAGAGGCCTGCCAGGGGCACCACAGGCCTAGCAAGGGCACCACTGGCCTGTCAGGGGCACCTCCGCCTTGTTAGGGCCCAGGGGCACCACAGTCCTTCCAGGGGCATTACAAGCCTGTCAGGGGCACCAGAGGCCTAGCAAGGGCATCACAGGCCTGTTATGGACACCACAGGCCTGCTAGGGGCACCACCGGCCTTGCAGGGGCGCCTCAGGCCTGTCAGGGGCACCACGTGCCTGCCGGGGACACTTCAGGCTTGTCAGGGGCGTTACAGTCCTGTCAGGGCCCAGGGGCACCAGGCCCGTGGTGTCCCTGCTAGGCCTGTGGTGCCCCTGGCGGTCCTGTGGTGCCCCTGTCAGGACTGTGATACCCCTGATAGGCCGGTGGTGCCCCTTGCAGGTCTTTGGGCCCCGGGCCTCAAGGGGGGGCCATGACCCATGTGACCCCCCCCCCCCTTGGATCCGCCACTGCAGTCACATGGGGACGTTCGTTAGACTCACCCGCAAAAACGCCCCAGCAACCAGAACTTGTGTGGGCTGAGGTTTAATGAGGAAGGGGGCATTTTCCCTTGGGTACAGTTTGCGGGATCCTCCGTTTCAGGAGATTTTGTATTTAATCTACTGTATGCCGGGGAGCTGACTCCTCGAAGAGCATCACTCCATGCAGGATGTTGCCTTCTTTCATCTTG